TCTATATTCTGCCTCTGCTTTCCAGCTGCAAACTGGAAACAGTGAAGCTAACAAATATGTTTCAAGAGTAATGCTGACATGTGCTACATGAGAGCTAGCCATCATAATTTTGATTTTCAGGGTCATATTTGACTTACCTGCAGAAGAAAAATCATTACTTATTTTCTGAAATAGTATAGGACCACACTTTGGTGAAATAATGGTTTTTAAGAACAGAACTATATCCATGTGTTTTGTTAGTTATCATAAAATTATCTAAACTCACTAATATTTATTAATCATTTCTTCTCCTACAAATCTTTCCTTAGCAATTGGAACTCTGTCAGAGATTATATAAACTGCACTTCCAGCTGCTGTTGCTGTTTCAGTCCTACTGTAAACTTATTGGACAAGTGCACGAAGTGAGTTCCATGCCAGAGGTATGTAACAAACTACAAAGCCTTATATTGAAAATTCCATTTTATTTTCATGTTCTTATTCTTCTTTCTGTGGACTTAGCACCAAAGATTACACTACTTCACTATTATGTCTGCAGGCATACATAATCAACTAAGTACTTTATTGTCATGTCTTTTTAATTCTGTAATGTTTACAAGCTTTTTTCTTCAAATATTTTTGACACAGTGCAATCTCACTTTTGACCCAAATAGCCTTTTGGTTTTAGATAAATCTATGTATCTTACCTTAAAAAACACTTCACAAGAACAATACTGTTAGTTAGGTTTATTTTCAGCAATTGCTTAAAATATGAAATACTTTGAAATACCTTTGAGGTGATCACTTTAATTTGAATGACCATCATTTAAGGGAAAATTTAACTCACCATTACATATGTATTTTTCTCCTGGTAAGATTTATGTATTTTAAACTGTTGAGGAGAATAAGTTATTGTACTTTGTGAAGTAAAATTTGAAGCTATGACATGTATTTATGACAGATTCTAGTAGTTTAGAGATGGTCTATAAATGGAAGTGGTTTGGCTTATGTGCTGTAGTAGTAAAGAATTTGAATACTTATTGTATCTTAAGGAACTGTTCTGAAGGCTGGCTCAGAATGTGACTGGGCTGTTCACTTTTAGGAGAAGACAAAACAGTATGCATCTAGTCCACTACTACTGGAATAGTCTTAAGTTTTAGAAATATTTTGTGTTCCTTATATTTGATTTCTGTAACTGTATTACACAGTTATGACTTTGTTGGATTTTTATAAATAATGCAGCCTGTGGAACTGGGGAACAATTGTATGAGGAACAGCTGTTTCACCATGAAATTTGCATACTTTGCTAGAGCCATAAGCTATTATTTAAAAGAAGTTCCATTGTTAGTACATGTGACAGTGGTTATTTTTAGCATGTGTGACATGAAAATGTAGATCCTTAGAAATTAATTAACATTAATTATTTATTTATCTTGTGCCATATTAACTTTTCAGCCTGACAAAAGGTTATACAATTCCTGTGCATCTGTTAATCATATCAGATCCTGCATATGTTTTGTAAATAGATAACAACATCTTCCAGGAGAAGTACATTTTCTAACACTTTTCCACTAGGATATGAAAAAAATTGTAAGAGGTGAAGAATAAAAGCTTGTTTACATGTGCTCTTGCATTTTAGCAAACCAAAACTACAGCATAAGGTTAAAGGAAGCACAAAGTTAAAGAGTCTATAGTTTGTGTTTTCCCCATAAAATGTACAGAGATCAAGAAATGTCCTTATGTTAAAATGGGGTCTTTTCCATAACATGTACATTCAATGGAGCAGTAAGAACAGATTTGAAATATCTACTCCTTTTGGGGCCTATGGAGAATGAAAACACCCATCTCTCTTCTTTCTCCTTGGAACAGCTGTTAAATATGTCAAGAGAACTGAGTGAGCTGAAGAAAAATCTGAAGGATGCTACTGCTGCAATCGCAGCTGAGCCTCAGACAGCAGATTCTGAGCCCTCGTTCAATTCTACTGAAGCAGCTATTCAGTCCATGCTGGAGTGCTTGAAGAACAATGAACTTGTTAAAGCCATCCGACAAATAAGAGAATGCAGGCAAGTTTTGCTACATGGTTCACATTAGACTTTCATGTTATTAGAAAAGTATGCATTTATTATCTTCCTAAATTTATCCTAAATGTAGTGCACTGATTCAGCATAGTTGATATGTTTCAATAAGGTACAGGAGGGCATTGATGTTTTGCAGGGGTGTGTCACCAGTAGCTATCAAACATGTATGCTTGCAACTATTAAGATGTTAATTACATTGTGTAGCCCAAAAGTCCTGTGAGGCTTTTAAGAATCTTCTTACAGAGGTAACTCCTTACAGGTGCATGTCACTGAGATCAGTTAAGGTTCAGCTCAGTTTCACTTCCACTTATTTGAATGAGTTCTCTTAAGCATTTTTTTAAATGACAGGAATTTGGCTTTTATGTGATTTCAGTGCCTGATACCAGAGGCTGACTAACAGATGAGTAGTGTAAAACAGCAAGTTCCTTTTGTGAGCAAGTCCATTCTCCTTTTAGAGATGTGTACCACGTAGCTTCTATCTGTGCTAATAAACCCATAGTGATACACACGTTCTCTTCCTGTTTCATTGCAGGATTTTGTGGCCCAATGATATCTTTGGAAGTAGCTCTGACGATGAAGTCCAGACACTACTGAACATTTACTTCCGCCACCAAACCTTGGGCCAGACAGGCACCTATGCACTGGTGGGCTCCAACCAGAGCCTGACTGAGATCTGTACCAAATTAATGGAACTGAACATAGAGATCCGCGACATGATTCGCAGAGCTCAGAGTTACCGGGTCATCAATACTTTTCTTCCAGACTCCAGTGTTTCCGGCACAAGTCTCTGACAGGACCCTTGTGTCCTCTTTCAAGCTGGGAGTGCTGCCCTGTGGGAGTGAGGTGGCTCAATGTCTTCTCAGCCTTACAAAGGTTTGGTCAGACTGTACTCACTCTTGTTACATTTAGGATTTCTTCTAAAAAGCGATGGGCTGAACTTCAAATGTGTAGCAATACTGTAAGGACAGAGGTAGCATAGAGCACCTGGGACAACATCCTTTGTTCTGTGTTGCACAAAAATCAGTTAGCATTTCACTGAGCAACTGCAACTCACTACTGAAGAAGTGACTTCCATTGCATACCAAAGCCTATTACACTGAACAATACTTCCTTTATAGCAAATTAATTTTAGGTTGGTAAAAGTGCAATGTTTCCTTCACAAAATAGTATTTTTTTGTTAAAGAAAAAAACAAACCCTTGTACATTTTTTCCTTTTTTCTGTTATTTAGCTGAGTGAAAGATGGGCAGAATGAAGCTGGCCACGGAATCTTGCAAACTTGTTGGTCAAAAGCTGAGAGCCTGTGTATCTGAAACAAATTGTAAATGGACTACAGTTTAATGTACACTGTAATTTGAATATGATTACTGTATCTTAAAACAACGAGCTGCTATGAAGTACATTTCCTAATGTTACTAGGCTACTGTCTCTGAAGGTACTGGATCATATTGCAGAGGTCTGTTCTTAGGCCCCCCCAAGGATCATGAATGGTCTTGGTAGATTTTCTTTTTTTTTTTTAAGGACCTTGGCTGCTTTTTACTAGAAGGTTGCTTTTATGAATATATTTATACTATTAAAGGATGGTTGATCTAATTTAACTTGCCATTTTGTAGGAGAAAGACCCATCACAGAGTCAAATCTTTTTGATTTGATTGTTAAGCATGCATATTTTTATTTAATATAAATTTTGAGTATAAAAAGTGAAAATATTAACGTGAAATGCAAGTTCTCATGTTAAGTTTCTTTAAAGAGATGTCTTATTTTATTTGTAATGTATATATAAAAGTCATAACTATATGGGTTTTTTCTTACATTTAACTGCTGTCCAGTGTTAAATGTATGCATGTAAATCTGTTGCACATCTGAGACACTTTTATTCTGTGTAACTTATTCACGCTGTAAATACACTTACCGTTTTTGTGAAGTAACTTTGAAATTTGGATTAGTACATCCATTTAACTAAAATATAAAAGTCACATATAATCACAACAGAGTAGTCCTTGTTGCAAAATTACGTTCTTGTCTGAATCCATACTGTTGCAGAGGGTATCCATGATCAGCAGCCCCCAAAAGACACCATTTATGCTGAAATCATTCATTGCACTGACAGAAAACAGCCACAAATATAAGGATTGTTTTGTCAGGCTGTAGTTACAACTCAGCTTTGAAAAGTACACTGACAAAAGCAGTTTCATTAATCTTCCACTGACAGGGAAGACCTTTAGAAGTTCCTTCCTCCTTAAAGTATCCTGTGATTCTTCACAGATACATACAAAATAACCCATGATGTAGCCATCTAGCTTTTTAGCATCAGTTCTAATCTTCAGGTAGAGAAGAAATCAGATTATTCCCAGCAAAGCCTCACTGATGAACTGCAACAATACTCTACTGTACTTCTACCACACCAGTACTTTAAATATGATTTCTCTGGTTCACCACATTTTGTCTCTCTGAAAGCACATTCAGGTACTCTCTTCAGTTATATTTAAGCCACCTACCCCGGAGATACCTTACATGATACCTCATGCTTCTGAGGCATGAGCCTGTGTTTAAACCAGGGGCAGTAGAACTTGTTCTACCACTCTGGGAACACATCGCCTCTAGAGAATTTGTTACAGTCCATCCCAGATGCTCCCACTCAAGAGGTTTTTCCCTTGTTATCTTACAGCAGATAGTCTTTGATTATCAAACAGCTGTGATTTTTTTAAAGATACATTTGACAGAGGCAGTGGGAAGACACACCAGACTTCATGCTCCAGAACATTTACATGTTCCACTCTAGTTGAGTTTGAGTGACTGAAGGAAAAACTTGCTCTTGCAGCTTTAATATTAACACTCCCTCGAGGCAGACTAAAAACAAGGTCTACTTTTTTCAGGAAATCAAATAGGTTTTTTCCTTCCAGATATCTTTTCCTCTTTCATCTAAACCAGATGAAAACTACGGGGTATCAAACTAGTGCAAACTTTTCTTCAACTTTATTTACAGCATATATACAATGAAGTTATATACTTTATAAATAATACAAATGTCTTTGTCCATTATCCAATGCCAGGTCAAAAGCCTTAAGTCGAAACACTGCAGAAGACTGACAAAGTGCAAAGCACAAAACAGAAGAGGGCACACAGGTCAGACAATGTATTTGAAGCTGTAAGTGTTATCGCAGGACAGCCTCTTCCCTTTGCAGCGGCCACAAAGTTCTTGGCGATGTGGTTTCTTGAGATCAATGTGCCTTTTCTTCTGAGGGCAGGAGCAGCGAGTCCTTGAACAGATCTTAAGAAATAAGACATTATTAGAAGTGGGTCAAAGGTGCTTACTTCATGTTAGACTGACATTTAGGTTTCCTTAATCATAGTTACACATTTGGACTGATAGACTTAAGAGCTCTTGTGGTAAAAACCCTGCTGAATTAAGCTGTAAGAACCTTCTCACCTAGAAGAACAAAACCCTACCCTATCTGTAGCTAGTCATAATGCTGTGTGAACAGAAAATTGTTCATATAAGCCATCCGCAGGAGGAGGGAGGCCTACCCATCACACCTTTTTCAACTAACATTTCCTAGTATTTTGATGAAATCAAGTTTTCTTCCTGGTAAAGTCAATACCAAATTCAACAACTGTAAACTATTAGAGTATATAATGACTGTATCCTGGTAAGACTGCCATATGTTAACTTACCTGGCACTGGATTGCTTCCACTCGATAGGGATTGAAGCCCTTTTGGCATTTGCGACACAGCTGCTTGAAGTACACCTGAAGAGAAGGCAAGTTCTCAGTTACTATAGCAACTTATTCAAGGTGTAAAGTACAAGTACCTTACACCAAAACACCAGATTTGGTGCCATTCTTACAAGTTTCAGGAGAGGAAAAAAAAAAAAAAAAAAAAAGACTTTGTTAACTACCTTGTTGCTTCCAGAAATGCACCACACATAAGCACTCTCCCATCTGGTCTTGCAGTCTTTGCAGTGGAAATAGCCATACTTCTGCTCCAAGAACTGCAGAGACAGAGTTTACTGAGCACCCTCCAGCACACCGAGAACACCCAACCCAGCTCCCTTCCTACTCCCTGAGGGTGGTGAGACAATGAAACAGGTTGCCCATAGAAGTCGTGGACACCCCATTGGTGGAAGCGTTCAAAGTCATGTTGGACAGGACTCCAAACAACATGATCTAGTGCATGGCATCCCTGCCCAGGGCAAGGGGGTCGGAACTAATCTTTAAGGCCCTTCCAACCCAAACCATTTTGTGACGCTATGATACACCCGGGTGGGTTTTCAGACGCTGGAGGCTCTGCTGTTGCAGGGGACACAGAGCCTGCCCGGGGACCACCGTGCTGCTCAGGGGGGGATTTCTGGCCGCCCTGTTTCAGGGTTGGCCCCTCCGTGGGCAGCGCCAAGCCCTGTCCCCGCGCACCTGGAAGGTCGCTCGCTGCCTGGGAGCCGCGTTCTCCTTCCGCCGCGTCCCCGTCGGCTCCTGGCACGGCGGCAGCGCAGCCCTCGCCGGGCTCTTCTCCTGCTTCTCTCTGCCGTCCGCCGCCGTCGGTGTCTCCTGGGCCGGCGCTTCCGACGGCGCTGCCTTCAGCGTGGGCGCGAAGGTGCGGCGTTCGGGCGCGGGCGAGTAGAGGGCGAGGCGGCCCGGGGCGCGCAGGGCGGCGGGGCCGAAGGCGCGGACGGGCGGCAGCGGGCGCGGCCCCAGCGAGCACTGCACGGCCTTGTCGGCCCGCAGGCTCACCTGCACCGCCGCCTCCTTGGTGCTGGCCCGGCACGGCCGCGGCGCCAGCCCGGGGCTCACCTGCGAGAGCAGCGCCTGCAGCTGCGCCCGCCGGTAGGTGTCCAGGTACTCGGAGGACAGTGGCGTGAGGGGCCCCCCGAGGAACGGGCTGATGCTGCTGCTCTTGCTCTGCTTCCAGCTGGGCTGCTTGGCCGCCGGGTCCTGGCCGCGGCCGGCAGCGGGGCTGCCCCTGAAGCCCTGGTACGTGATGAAAGGGGAACAGACAAAGCCCTCCATGATCATCGCCCTAGATGGGTCAGGCTTGCCTCTTCCCCTTTCCCCGCCTTTATCTTATCTGGGGGGCTAATGGTTGCTAATTGATAGGGAAATTGGGACCAGCTGGAGCGGGGGGGGTGGGGGGGGAACTGATGGCAAGGGTTGCCTGCCTTCCTTCTCTGAAAGACCCTGTAATGATGAATAGATGTAATTCAGCCATAGGTGGGACAACCGTGGCCCTCGCAGTGAGGGAAAACCTGCTTGCTCTCCACATCGTCATAAAGGAAGGAAAACGGGACTTGCGAAACTGACAAAGCCCAGATTAACTGGTGTCCCACGGAAAACTGAGCAGAGGATGCTGGAAAGTGCATGTTTGAGAAGTCGTCTTTACGGGTATTAAAAGGTCTGAGTATCCCCATTGTTCCATTACTCGGAGATTAGCTACACTGAGCTTTTCTATCAACTGAACTGCTTTAGGAAAAGATAGACTATACTTGTGTATAAAAACTGAAGTAAGAGAGAAACAGTTACACCAGGAAAAGTGGCTTAATACCTGAATCATTAAATAAGTGTTAGTAAAACAAGCATTTACACATTAGACTAATAGTTCTTCTTCCATAATTACATCAATTTAGTTCAATTCTAAGGTAATATAGTTAAAATCATATAATTCAATTATCCAAACTGTGTATGGAGCCTTTAAAGACTGGAGAATCCTCAAATCCCTGGAACTGCTGTGATGTGAAATACTTTCTTTGTATGACTCCTCACCATCTTTATAAATGCATCGCTTTATAAACTTCAAGGGGCCAGCAAGAGAGGGGCTATAGAAGAGCTGGTAGGGATTATGTCTTTAAATGTTCACAGTGCATTTGAGAAAGACTGTTCAAGTGTCTGAAATAAATCAGTAAGTAACAGCACTTTTATAGGACAGAAAAAGGTTAAGATTCAGGAAGCACATTCATCATAATTAAAAGGAAGATGTCTCAAGGCTCCAAGTTGTGCTTGGGCTTTCAAAGCACTGTTGGTATCAACTCAAAGCAAAAAGACAGTATCAAGATGGCCAAGTTAAAACTTAATGACTGCACTGTGGCTGCAAAAAGAGTAAATTGTTAGGGTGCATTGGGAAGGGGAATGGAGATTAAATTGGAAACTACATGCCATCCTTCAAAGCAAAGGTTTGGCTACCTCTAAAATGCTTTGGAAAGAACCAGTTACTGCAACTCCCCACAGCACTGCAAGTTCGGAAGTTTAAATCGTTGGAAGGAGAAGGGATATGGAAAATTACTGTATGACAAGAACCTGAAGAAAGTGACAAATGAGTATGCAGGTGATGTGATAAAACTGTGCAAAATAAGGACTGGTACAGAGAGGTAGGAAGAACCCCCTTTATGAGACCAGAGTAGATGAACATCCAGCTAAAATGAATAACTCAAAGCTGGTGACAAGAAGAATGTTACACCCAGCTTCAAGTTATTCCACGGACTCAGTGATGAAACTAAGAGAAGAGACGTGCATGTGGAGGATAACATTATCTTTATTGTACAATAACCATGATGATAATTTCACGTGTCAAGGCCTACAAAACCACCTGAAAAGCTGAGGCTTGCACAGACCATGGTGACACTGCCGCTTACTGTGACCCTCCCGGAGCCTTTTCCTGGGAGGTCAGTGTCAGCTGCAGCAGGATGAGTCCTGACAGCCTTGGAGGTGGTACTTCATTTTCCACATCTCCAGGACGCTGAGGGAAGCTGCTGGCTGCCACCCTGGCTCAGGACGCGCTCCCTTTCTGTGCTGTGCGGAGCCGTGCCCTGAGGGACGCCCTTCACTGCGGGCACCACGCGTTACCCGAGCTTGCCCCCCGTGCCCTGCCGTGCGGGAGAGGCGGGGCCGGTTCGCCTCCCCCTTCCCGTGAGGTGGGTGCGGAATGGGGCGGGAGCGGCGGATGCTCCCGGTGCGCAGGCGCGCGGGGGGGTGTTGGCGCCAAGCTTCGAACGGGGCGGCGGGCGTGGGGGGCTGTTCCCGTCCCCTCCCTCCCCGACTCCCTCTTTCCCCCCCCAGTCCCTCCGTGAGGCGATGCTGCGGCCGCTGCTCCGCCCGAGGGGCCGCCGGCAGGTAACGGCCCCGCGTGTGGCTCGGCCCGGCCCCGGGGTGTCCCCGCTGCTCCGCGGGGGTCCCTCCCCTACCCTCCCCTTCCCTCCCATCACACCCTGCCGGGGGTCTGCGGTCACCACGGGGGTGGAAGGGGGTGTCCGGTGTCCGGGCTCGTCCCCTGAGGCCCCACGGAGACCCAGGGGCGGCTGCACAGGCCGCGCTCCGTGCTTGGGTCACTGCCCGGGAGGAGCTTTCCCTCACGGGGAGCAGCGTGGGCAGGTCAAATCGCCTTTTTAAAATGTGCTTCTGAGGCAGTGTTAAATTTCTTTGGTTTTCTGTCTCAGGGCAGCCCTTACCCTGTTTTAAAATGCCCGCCTTTCCCATGGTGTTGGTAAGGGAGCGCCTGTAACGCGGTCATCGCCAGGGAAACTGATTTTACTGTGGATACAATAAACGTAGTAAGCTGTAAAGTCCTGCGTCAGTCTTTTTGATACCTGGTTTTCAACAGAATTGTGAAACTGGCAATGTCTGCTCCACTTGAAAGCAACTTTGAATCAAATTCTTGACACATAAGTTATATAATGGTTGTAAGAGTATATATGTGATAGTATATGTTTCACCCCAGCATATGGTAGTGAGTGTGGAGTTTTGATTTGTGTTTAAAATGCCTCAAAAGTGTCATGCCTTCTCCATCTTGGTTATCTCCTGCATTCGCTGAGTATTTTTATCATCTCTGGTATAATTCCCTCTGCTCCTCTTGTCTGCTTTTTTTGCACCATGTTAATCGTTGCGGTGTTTGAATGCTCACATCACAGTCTTGAAGCTAAATAAGTTGGGTTATGACACACCAAGAAGGCAGGCTTAGAACTTGCAGTGCCACAACATTGAAAAAACAGCGTATGAAAGTGTTTTCTTATTTCTTCTCAGGCTTTTCAACAGCTGTTCCAGTAATGTTATGGGTAAGAAAATGGCTTACAAACCTGCGGAAAGACCAACTTTCTTTGAAGTATTTAAGGCACATTGCAGTGAATCAGGTACAGCTTCTCCAAAGTAAATAATTTTTATTAGGGTTGCTTTCTGTGCATCAATATTTTATACACATCTGCTCCATAGAAAAGCATCATTCAACTTGTTAGCTGCTGCTCTGGCCCCTAATCTGTATTTGCTAGTATCTACTTTTGTAGATTTCTTTAAATATTTATATGTAGGTTTTTTTCATGACATGTGCTTAGCCAGTTTTTGTACTTGCTTTTTTAGCTGCTACCTCCGTATGTACCCACATGCAGATCAGGTTTGGTCTTTTGTCAAATGCACCTGTTGTAATTATTAATGAGCTGCTAATGTTAAAAGGAAACCGTTTAACTTGCCAGTCTGAGCAAAGTAAGCGACACTAAGCGACACTAAGAGTATACTCTTAATTTTTCTGCTCTTTGGTTAGTTTTGTTAATTGTCTGAGAAACTGGTTAGACATCCTTATGTGTTTCATGTGTATCAGAGTTCAAAGCCATCTAGAAACAAAATAAACAGAAGTATGGCAATGGAAGGAGCAATGTGTTTTTCTGTTAGCATTTAAATGCCTAATGTATTTTCAAATCCTGTACGTAGTATCTTTTTTCCATTTCGTGTGGTTTTCTGTATGTTTTCCTTTATAGATTTAGGGCCCATCAGTCTCAACTGGTTTGAAGAACTCACTGCAGAAGCACCACCATATGAGCCTAAAGTGTTTGGAGAACTTGATGCTTCCTCTGGCTGGCTTGATCAAGCATCTTTTAAAACTCCAAGGACAAAACCCTCTACATACACTCAACTGGCATCAACTCCACTGATCTTTAAAGAACAAAGTGCAATATTGCCACCTTGTTCTTCTCCTGATAAAGAACTGGATCAGAAAAAAGTCAGAACAAGTGAGTAATTTCTTTTTTTTTAAGTGGTACTTAAAGGCTGCTTGTGCCCCTCAGAAGCAAGATACTTTTTTTTTTTTTTTACCTTTTACTGTTGTAGCTGATGATGTTAGAGTAATAGGTATTGCTGCTATAGGAATTGTGTGACTAAAAAGCTTATTTTGGTAGTCTTCTGAAGATCATCTAAAACAACAGGGAATTAATCTTAATGAATTCAACCTTGTGATGAAGTGGTAATATATATGCAAAATTCCCTGTATAAAATATACTGTTGTGGTCCAAATACTGTTAATATAAGGAGATATGAGCTTATAAGTGTAACCTTTCGACTGAGAATCAGAGTGAATTTTTTCAGCCATCTCATTTTTGTTTTATGCAAAATCTCTAAAAATCTTCCCAAGAGAGAATTTTCCTTCCATGCTGAAGTATGATGTGATCTTAGGGCACTCCATAACCTTTGCTGCAAAGATTTAGAAGCACTAAGCTCTTTGAGTTACTATAACTGTCATGGAAAGAAGTTACGGTTTTTTCATTTGGGAAAAAAAAGGAATTTCAAGTGGTACTTCTCGTTGCATTATTTCCAAATCCCAAGTATGTCATGAAAGTACATGTCATGCTGCTCCTTTTTGATGTACCCATCCTCCTTGGACAGAGAGAAGTTTTTCTAGCGAGAATGTATGTAAGGTTGTATCTCTGTTCTATGGGAGAATGTCTAACCCCATTCCTGAAGCACCTGATTTATACATCTCCTGTGTCTGTGCCCTCCTGATAAGCTTTTCTAAACAGATTGCAAAAAAACACAAGACTCCCGTTATTACCAGAATTGTTCTTAGATCCTAAAGCAAACTCTCTAAAGGGGCAGAACTGTGCTGCTGTTCAAATACCCTTTATAACAGTGCCTCAGTGGAATATTGTTACCATCTTTATTTCTCTGAAATTTACTGCTCAACTTCTGCTCACAAGTATTCTTAGCTGAGAACACGTTTCTTCTAAATGCAGCTGTTTGGATTTCACAGTGTTTAGTCCCTAGGGAGTTCTTGGTAGCATTTCATAAGTGGCAAACTAAGGAACCTTATGATTCTTCAGTTTCACAATGGTTAGTTTTGCTCTGTGTTTGTGCAGAGGTTACCTGTGACTGACCTGAGGTCTTCTGCTTTTCTTAGTCAGAGCCAAATGGCTCCTGTAACCCAAGTTTTTCCTCTTGTGAAAACAAGAGTGGGGATTTCACCTTGGTGTGGTACAGGGATGCAGCTATGCTGTGCATGTGGGCTCAGGAACTCAGAAGCAGAGAGAAAGGCAGAAATCAAAGTGTAATTTCTTATATTAAAGTAGTCTGGAAATTTCTGAGTAGTGATTCCTTTAAGGAGATGCTTGTTCATGTTCGGGGCTCACTGCTCAGAGGATTCTGCTGCATTGGTGGGCACACTCTCTTCTGCCTGGAGCTGCTTCACATAAATAGCTATTGCAGCCAGTGGCTCTACCAACAGTTCAAGAAATAATTTTTGCTTTATGCTGCTTAAGAATCAAGAAGTGTATGACTTAATAAATTTGAGGGAAGGCTGGTACAGTCGTATGTTTGCATGTATTGTGTTTCTTCTAAGAATAACTTCTGCAATGATAAGAAAGGCACAATACAGTACATTAAAACTGAATATGACTTTAATAATATCAAGTTAATAAAGTGGCATAATGAGTGTTTTTTTTCAGCTGTGCAGTTGAAACATGTTTAGCATTGTTTGGATTTAAATTTTGAATATATTTAAAATACTAGAGGAGAAATTAGCATTGGGTTTTGGTTTCTGGAGTTTTGGGTTTTTATTAACTAGAATTCATGTTGCATATTTTTTTTTTAAGGTTTGTCTTGAAGCTTTAAAATTGAAATTATTACTTGTAGTTTTGCAAAGTTGTGTTGATTATTATATTGTGTGTTGTAGATGGAGAGAATTCGATAAGCCCAAGTAACACAAGAAGGAAAGTAGACCAAGAAAATGAAATGCTTGCTTCTCCTCCTGGTACCTGCCGCAACTGCCTTGCTGCTAGGTATGGTAAATATGTCAAGACAAATCAAAAATAAACTAGATTTTAAGCAAAAAGCAATATTAAACCCACCATATTTGACTGTTAAACTTTCTCATAGCAGTGAATAATCTTGTGTGTCTGGTATGTTTATGATACTTTTAGGTTGCTAAATGAGTTAAAGTAAAACACAAGCTAATTTTGAAAATTTTCTTGTTTTCAGGTGATTTTCCTTTCTATTTTTCTACTCTTTCATAGCTGGAATATGTAATTTGTTGACATTATTTCAGCTTTCCAAATCCTCAACGTCCAAAGAAATAGTGGCAGTGATATATCATGTTCTTCTCAAGTAGTAAAGCTATTTATAGTATTTACTGAGATTTTTTTTTAGTAATAGCCTTGATTTTGACATTTAAATGTCTGTTTCAGATAAATGTGATTAAAGTACTCAAGTTGATTATAAAACGAGTTAAAATAGTTATTTAATTAAAATCAGTTTATCCAGTTTCCCTGGTTTCATGCAGCACATTACAGAGTACATGATCATATTGAAATGTATTACTTGTCAGAAAAATTGTTACTGAAAATTAACATATTTCACAAAAGAAGCTTTTTATGATTTTTAATAGACTTACAGTAAGGTTTAAAATACTGACTGATGATTAGGATAAATCTGCATTTTATCTAGTCAGGGAAATTGCAAAGAAGGAAAATAATGGAGTTGTTAATATATGTAGTATATTGAAATATTCCATTATTTTCAGAAACTGAGAAGTGAAATTAATACTTTGATTTTTATTTTGTTTTGCAGTCCAGCTATTTTAAGGAATACTTATAGGACACCTCAGAGAAATAATATGCCTGGTTTGTATTTCCTCTTTTTGGTTCTACAAAATACTTTATATACCTAGATAAAAATTCTTATTTTTTAGTTATTATTTAATGTCCTTTTTACATAATGTTTTTTAGGACCATATGGAAGTTTGTTTTGCACACCAAAACTTTTGGAGGTATGAATTGTATTTATTCATTTTGTTTCCTTTTCCTGAGTAATACATTTAGAATTCTGCATTGAATAGATATATATATATAATTGTTAAATGTATTTCTAGGTCAGAACTCCAAAATGTATTTCTGAAAGTCTGGGAGCAGAAGTGGATCCAGATATGTCCTGGTCAAGTTCTTTAGCCACACCTCCTACACTTGCTGAAACAGTGATAAGAGGTACTTCTAAGAATGAACAATTGCTAAGGGTTAAAAACTTCTGGGTTTGACACTGGAAGTTCTCCCAGTGGGAACTGTTTGGTTTTCTGTTTAAAAAAGACAACTCTTACAGTGATGGTTAGTGGGTGACTTTAAATAATGCAGCCCTAAATAGAAAACTTTTTTGAAAAGTTTTCTTCCTTCATATGATAGTTTAAGGAGTGTAACACAGCAAAGCATAGAAAGAGGATGAAATAATGTTTTCTTTGCACTATCACCAAACTAGATACTATTGGGCTAAGTCATGTGAGTATGTTTATGAAGTCTAAGTAGGCAGCCTATGGAGTAAACTTCCCAGCACCAGTGTTGGCTTCAGCATTTTAAACCACTCACACTGTGCCTGCCACCCTGTCGCAGCGCAGTCAGACAGACTGAGATACTGATCCAGTTCAAGACCATATTTCCTGGGTTGTTTGGACAAGGCAATTCCTGGACCTCATTTAGTGCACAGCTGCACAAAATGAATGGGTGATAACTGTTTCAGTGGTAACTAACAGTGGTGCTAAATATCAACCCTCAACCTATGGTGTTGCTGAAAGATGGATTTCATTAGCATATGATGAGCAAAATGATATTTGACTGTATGATTTGTTGATGGAAACGGAAAGACTTGGATGTCTACTTATCTCCTGACATAGTTTAACAACATGAAAAAGAGCAATCACTGTGTAAAGCATACAGACCATTTAAAGCATATTAAGAATGAATGCTGGAGTTGGGAATCTCTTTTGGGAGGGAGAGGGTGATACTACTCCCAAGGCTATTCAGTTGTGCCGTTTTGGGTGTTCATTGGTTGAGAAAGATGTGAGCTGAAAAGAAAGGCTGGGGCAGGTACCCATACATTAATGATGATGTTCTGGGAGGTGAGCTGTGGTTTGAGCTCTCATTCTCCCACTTCTTGGATGAGCCTAGGATGAGCCTAGTGATGGCTCTCTCCGATCTGACACCTGTGAAAAGAAAGAGCGAACCATTTGGCTGCTACGTAGAGCCTACATGCCACGTCTGGGAAACTTGTCATTGTAATATGCTGCTCTTCAGGCATTTTAAAAATAGGGTTCACTCTCTCCCTTTGTAATGTAGTGAAAAAATATTGCTGCTGTTTTGGGAGGTAATGGGGAAAAAAAACAAAAACAAATTCCTAACTCAAAGATCTGATCCAGATCCTTGGACAGAAAAAAACAGGGAGTAATGCCATGAATAGCTGCTTGAGTAGTGATGTTCTTAGGGTGGTAACTGGTCTACCTGCATAGCAGAAACCACAGCCTATGATTTGGGGTGCATTGTGCAGTAGTTAGGAGTTTTAGTTAGTTTTTAGGAGTTTTTTTTGTTTACAGACTTGAGTGGCATTTAAAATAGTCCAGTGAAAACCCTCCCAAAACATAACTGTGTTTGAACACACTCAGCAGATCACTTGGGAGAAGATAAATTGACTTGTCTGTCTTTCTCCTAAAGTTAGAGAGAATGATTCTGTCTCTGAAGCAAAGCAGCAGGATGGAAGAGCAGATAGAGTAAGTAGTTCTAAGAGCTATGTTCTTCTTTCAGTTAAGCTGTTTGGTTACATGCTTACATTCCTTGCGCCAAGAATGAAAAATTCTGTCATTTTCATTTTAAGCTCTCCTCTTTGGCCAGGTTTTTAAAAGTTACTGCTGACAAAACTAAATTTGTGAAATGTGGCTGTACACTGTATTTTCACAAATAACCCTATTTGAGAAATGTTTTTTGCTGTGTTTATTAAAAAAACCCAACAAAACCCCCCCACCAAAAGCACTTGGATTCAGCAGCAGGGGGTGTTATTCAGAGAAAAATCAAACCTAGGAATTGCCATGTGCTATTTATATGAGGGTTGGTTGATTTGTGTTTCTCCTGCTTCTGTCCAACTTTTGGAAGTTATTCTTTGGAAATAACTTCTTGTGCTCAACCTAGAGTTGAGTTTTAATTTCAGTCCTTTGATAGTGTTAGGGAGAGTTCTTGCATAATTGTAATTTCACTCTGTATACGTGAAAGCTGAATGATTATTCAGACTGAAAACAGAGGATGGCACTAAAAGGATTCAAGTGTAAATTTAAATTTGATTCTTAACTACCTGAAACTTCACAGTTTAACAAACCATTACAAGTTAAAATAAGCAAAACGTCTTTGTCCTTCCTCATATCTCCTTTGTTCCCTTTTGAGAGGCTTATAGTAAACTGTTGAACCCATTTACTGCCCTTAAGTTGACTGCAGAATGAAACCTGATTTGCATCGAAAATGGGAATTGCCTGCTTATTTGCTTTTAAAGTGTACCTATGAAAACGTTACCTCTCATTTTAAGAGATGCAGCATTATTCAGGTACCTGCAGTAAGTGTTTAGAGTTGCATGCTTTACTGTTAAAGTGACACTCACTGGTACGTAATGTAACAACTTTTGTCTTTGGTTTACAGATTTTGCACAACTTTTTTTCCAGCCATGATAAATGTCCTGAGATAAGTGATACAAGTATGCTGTTGGTACCAGAGACAGTCAAGCTAAATGCTGAAGATGATGTCAAAGATTTGGGTATGCATTGATGCTTTACCTACTAAGTATACTGTGAAGCAAGACTGAGGATGAGGCTACATTGTGTGTCTTGGGCTGCTGTTATGGCTTATTTCTTCTGCCAGCTGTGTACTTACTCCCACTTCCTGAACTGATTCAACTTTGCCAAACTAACGTAGCCTTAAAAAAGGGAATGTCTGCTGAGTCAGTGAATTAGATCACTGTCGTGGTTAAACTGGATGACAACCAGATTAGTGCTGTGAAGTGTGCTCACTGCGGCTGAAGACAGACGCTGTGGGAGAGCAGAGAGAGAGAAGTGGTACAGGCTCAAGGGGGAGCAAGACTACTGCCTCTAGGTGTTGAATAGGTTTAGCTTTGTCACGAAGTTTCACCCCAGCGCTCATTATTCTGTGGTGAGCTTGGTTTTTGATCTTGTTAAATCCTTTCTTCATTTACTTCACCTGTTCAAAATAGGTAATTCTAAATGGAACAAATCCTTTGGGAAAATGTTTAGATTTTTTTAGTGAATGCAGAAAATACCCAGGCAAGGCAAAAAAAAGTTTTCGTTTGGTGTTTTTAGTGAGAAGGTGAAAATGTATGCTTCCTTGGGAGCTTTTTGATTTTAGTTCAGAAATTATGGCAGAAGGGAAGAATATTAACAGAAGTTTGTTCAGCCTGCATAGGTGTAAAAGAGTGCTGTAGGGATTCACACAAGCTAGACAGGACAATGTATCCTTTGGATTGTACGTCTTCTTATCTGAATTAAATGAACTGCCCTAAAAAAAAAAGTTTGGTGGTATGTGTAAGAATTGTGAAAAAATCAGTTTAGAATTTGATAAAGAGGGCTGAGAATGCTGGGATCAGGAAGCATTGTTGCTTGCAGAGTGATACGTGGTACTATTTTTATATTGTAGGTTCAAATGTCCTGAGAAAAATGTGTTTGATAGTAAACCTATTCAAGTAAATTGTAATCAGTAAAATACTTTTAGAAATTAAAGACAAATTGATGTGTTGGTCTGTGTTCCAGTATGGCTTATTACATTGCATACTACAGTAGAGAAGGCCAGTTAATACAAAGTTTAAATAAAACAACAGGGGGAAGAAAATCATGTCTCTGAAAGTACAAAACAACTTGCCATTTTTTTTCCTATGTCTTTCCTTTTTGATAATAGTTAGCTTGGTATTTGAAAATGCAGTGTGAAAAGAAGGACAGCTCAAACCTCCATGTTTGTGCCTTTCAAATGTTGGTTTTCTCTGGAATAGAATTGTATGATCATGTATCATCAGTTTTATTAGGTATACATTTTGTTTCAGTTAAAGAAAATAAGAGATCATAATATATCAAATCATCAAATATCACCTCCCAGTGAGTCCAGAAGTCAAAATGAAATTCCCTGATTTTTTTTTTCCCTGGCAAGAGTGTACAGTTTGAGACAGTATCTCTACAGTGTTTCAGATAATTCTGGTTTTCTTTAATCCAGAAAAGGTTATGTCTCTTGTTTAAGTAAAGAGAAATAAGCTGTGTCTTCGTAGAAATATCTACTGACAAGTTGTTACAGCATAAAAGAACATGGACACAGAAATTACTTCAGAGGCTTTAGTAAGGGAAAAGGACCTGTACACACAGTCTGTAGTGTTGCAGTTTCCTTTTTGAGATCTCCTTTAGTGAAACCTTCTGCCACTTAAACATAAAATAGAAAGTAAAAAGAATGAGTATCTGTTCTGTGTCTACAGTGTCAGCATGAACCCATAATGGATATATTACATGTAATTGGATGTGTGTGACCAAGTACTGGGAAATGGACTTCCAAATGGAAAATCTTTTGGATATTAGGCTATTTAAAAGTTCTAAGAGGGCAAGTTATAGAATTTTAAATTAACAGAAATAGTACCTAAAAAAGGCTTATGGAAAAAGTTAAGCTATTGGTTATATGCCCAAGGAAAACAGAGGACAGTGATGTTTTCGAGGGACTTCATTATGACTTCTTTGATATGAAAAAGGCTTAGAAAGTACTCTTCAAATAAAACCTAGCTGTATTCTTTAATGTGGACTGTATTGATAGGTGGGTCTTGGTTCATACTTTTGAGAGGGTAATATTTTTATTTGGTATGTATAAGCTTGTAAGACTATCTACAAAGTAGAGTTTGCGTTATTTTCCCCACTGCATATTTTATATGTGCACAAACAAAAATTTCTAATTACTTTTCTAATATTTTGCCAATCGTGGAACTACTTAAAACCTTCCCAGTCAATTAAGAGATTGAGAATATTTTCTAAATCCTTCTAGAAACTATACTATATCGTAGCAAAAGACAGTTTAATAAATTAATCCTTAAAAAAGAGTTTCCTTAGCTGCCAGTTATAGAGAAAAATAGGCGGCTTCTTAACATGTCTTATACCTACCAGCAGTATAAATTTTAGAAGAAAAAAATCCAGGTATTTTTCTTGTCAAAATCACCACTCATTCTCCTGTCCTGCCTGTAGGGGAAAAGAAAAACTCTTTTGAGAAGCTCAGTTTTATCTTGGAAACCTTAACCGCTATGGTCCTCGGGAGGCCAGGGAATCTGCATATATGTCCTTTGCCTCCTGTTGCCTCTGACAGCTGCTTAAATTTATCTTTACAAACTTGCTCCTGAGTAAAAGTAATGACTATAAAATTCAAAGCTGTATCTACATCTAAAAACCCAGTGCTGTTCCAAAGGTTATTTCCTAAAACCTAATTTTTTTGCTTCTTTCCCTCCCCATCTTCTCTAGAGTCAGAGGTGTCAGATGGCTTACTTGTTGAGATGGATAGCTTTGATGACACATTCAACATGCCCACTAAGTCCAGTGGAACTCTTCTACTGATGCCACGTGCTTTGGATGCAGTAGAGAAATGTGAGATAAACACAGATAAAACACACGGAAAGGAGGAGGCTCCCTCTGAGCAACCTAATAGAAGAAAGACTGGCATGTCACAGGAAGTGAAAACAAATAACTGGACTGAAAAAGCACACTCTACTGAAATGAATGGTTCTTTACTCCAAAACACCACTGAAGGTACAGGAGATGGTAAAGATGATTGTTTAACAGGACATGAAAAGGAACTGGAGTCACTTAGGATCTCAGATGTGCAAGATTATAGGACACACAAGTCATTTAAGAATGAGAAGCCTGTAAAAGAAGCTGTGCAACCTTCATCAAGCCAGTGGTCTCAACTGAACTTATCTGACCTTGACATAGCTCACTTGGAGATGTCTGAATGTAGCTCTCCACCCTCTGACTTCCATAGAGAGGAAGATTTAGGAGAGAAGTCAGTACTAATGACCAAGGATGATGCTGTAGAAACATCTTTACTGAATACTTCAGGCTTGATAAGAGCAGAAAAGCTACTGAGTGTCAATTTGTCAGAAAAATGCTATGAAATGGAAAATGCTGAAAACAGCCCAACATCAGAAATAACTCCAGTAAAAGCTATGTGTCTGAGCATTCAAGATCCAAAGTTAGTAAAAGGATGTGCAGCTGAGATTTCCAAAATGAGCTTCTTAAACTGCAGCGCTTTTTTAATTGAACATACAAATGTCACAGAGTATTCTATAGTCTACAATGGCAGCTTTTCCAAGCATTTAAAAACAACTTCTAAATCTGTTGTAACTGATGTTCTGTCTCACCCACTTATGTGTAGTGCCACATCTCCAGATAATTGTGATGACCTACATTTGATAAGCAGTGAAAATACTCTTACAAAGTCCAGCTTTAAAAGCCTGAATATGTTATCCAACTTGAGAAAGAGATCCAGGAGATTTATTTATACAATAAATAATACTTTACTGTATCAAGAAGAAAAAGTACAGAAAGAAGTAACCTCTGAAACACCTACTCATCCTGTACTACCCCATTCGGAATCTGATTCATACGAACTTAGAGGCTGTCAGGTGGCCAGTGAGGTTGAACAAGGTATATTAAGCTTTTCATCACTTGTGGAGGATTCATTATTTGTTAAGAACCTTTCAAGTAAATGTTTCAGATAAAATCCTGTAAATTCTTATGTTTGTGAAAAAGTAGCCCGGCAGCTAGGAATCAACATATGGTATTAGTCTGTTACATAGTGATAAGAATAACATTATTTTCAAGTTATCTTATGCTAGCTTTTCTCAGATTAGTTTCTGCAATCGAAACTTTCACCTTGAACCATTATTCTAATTGACAGACATAATTATCTTTGTCAATGCTGGTTATACATCCATTGTGTCAAGGGCCACTCTGTCTGAGTTGATAACTTCAAAAAGATCATAAAGAATATTAAAGTTGTGTTGTTATTTTTCTAAAATTAGGGGGTTTAAGACTGTACATCTGTTTCCTCCCAAAGTACAGAATATTTTAAAAAAGAGTACAATGAAAGCAAACAGGCGCTCCTATTTTTAGAAGCTGTTGTTCCTGCTAGAAGAGTTACTTTAATATGAGGAGTTGAAGTAGTTTAAGTCTGAAACAAATCCTTATGTTGAGACACATGGAATGGAAGTCCATCTTTTCAAATTTCAATACAGCTAAAAACTGATTTATTGTTTTTTGCCTGATAGCATTAATGGCAGCCTAACTCGCTTCTTTCTGTTCTGTTCTGTATTAGAATACAATTAGGTTAAATAGATCTCCATGCTTGTCAAAGCGTTTCAAATGAAAACAAAAGTGATACTTATGGTTCCAGTGTTAAGCATTTGTAGAAGTGATCTTATGGACCAAAATTTTATGAAAATCTGAATTTACACATGTTTGAATAAATTTATTAATCTCTTTTTCTCTGTAACATCTTCTCTTGTAGACCATTTTCTTCTTGCTGAGAGGAAGTGTTTGCAATCAAATACCAAGACAGAGAATTTCAGCAGTTGTACTTTAAAAATGGGTATATCAGATAACTCATCCAATAATTCTTTCGGCAATAGGCTGAAGCAACAAGACCTGAGAGACCTGGGGGGAAATGCAAGAGAGGATCAACCTGCTATGTCAATAAAATGCTTAGAAGTATCTAATACACAGAAGGAAGATAAGACAAATTCTTTAAATAGTGAGATTATTTCCAGTATAAAACGTAAAGTTCTAACTTCAGCATGCCTAATGGCAAGAAAGCGTTCCAGATTTCTCCCTAAAAGCTGTTGCTTAAGGAAAGGTGAGGAAGATGAGGATATGAGCGCTAATGCGAACAATGCAGCTGCTGCACCTCAGATCCTGAAAGAAGAACTTGGGTCTTCTCCTAAGGATAAGGAACAGTTGACTGGTGTGCACCATGACTGCACATCTACGACAAACAGCGGTTTCAAGAATACTGTGAGTCAGATCGACTTTGGCTTAACTGGAGTCAGTAGTGATTGCTGCAATAAATCATCACCTGGCAAAAGGCATGCTGCGGACCAGAGCTCAGGAGCTGACTGTAGGGCAGTACATAGACCTTTGGGGATGAACTGCTCAGAAAATGATGGTATTGCATTAAAACAAGGGGAGCAGAGAGATGCAGCTGCCTTTCCAGAAGCTGTAGCCAACAATGAAGAGCCAAAGCCAGTTGAAAACAATGAAAGCCCTCGAGCAGCTGCTCTCAGTAATGTAGCTTTAGAGATTGCTAAAGAATTATTAGATCGTATAGATAATAGTTCTTTAAACAAAGTAATTTCTGAAGAAGATAAACAAGTAGCACCTCTGCATTCAAGAAAAAAGCCAAAGGAGAACCTAAAGCATAAAGGGAAATCATCAGCAAATCTTAATGCATGCAGTTTGAATCCAGGCTTTGGTGGCTTTCAGACTGCTTCCAATAAGCAGATTAAATTCTCTGAAGCTAGTATAGCAAAAGGCAGAATGCTGTTCAAGGATATTGAAAATGAATGCTTTGAAACTGCTTCTGTGGAAAGAGCCAGAAAGTTTTCAAGCCACGTTAAAAAGGAGAATATGCTTTTCTCAGATTCAGAAAGCAAGTTGGGCAGTAATTTATCTGATTCTTTAGATTCACAGACGAGCTTTCTTGAGCCCAGGCATACACAGTTTATTCCACATAAAGTTGACTTGTGTAAAAGCTTTCCTAGAACTCCACAAGCCTTTCAGGAAGCAAATGAAACCTTGACAGCAAGCCAAGAAGCCGAAATTGCTGAACTTTCTAGTATCCTGGAAGAAACAGGTAGTCAGTTTGAATTTACACAGTTTAGAAAGCAAAGTAATATGATACAAAGTCATGCCTTTCAGCAGTTCAGGACTGTAGAAACACGTGGAACAAAGAATGTAGAAAATATTTCTGAAACAAGGGAAGATGATGCTTTTTGTAGCACTTTCAAATCTGAATACCAAATGAAAAATGACAAGTATTGTAGTCAGCAGGAAGATACAAGTGAAGACTCCAAAGTGGGGGAATATGAAAAAGAAAATGCAGTCGTTTTCCATAAAAATGACAAAAAGGTTACTTTCAGTCACCTAGACATACATGAAAGTAGGAGATCTGATGAGAGCTTTCCCATAGCCAAACAGGACAGCTTTTCTAATTTCATAGGCTTTACTTCAGCTGGAGGTAAAAAGATAAATATTTCTAAGGCAGCTTTGAGCAGATCTGCAGAGCTCTTCAGGGACTTGGATGATGATAACTATTTCTTTAAATCTTCAGAAACCAGTACTAGATGCCACAATTCAAAGGGGTGTATGTCTTCTAACCGTAATTTTTTCAGCTGCCTGGGAAAAGAAAGGAAAGAAAAAGCATGTTGTGTTTCAGATTTCAAAAACGTAAATGCCATTTCTCACACAGGTTCACTTTCCTACCATGCACAGAATAAGAGTAAGGAAAATACTAGTACAGCATTTAAAGAAAATATGGAAAGTAAGGCAAAAATTTCAGTAAATGATACTGAAAATGCTAATTTCAATAGTATTAACAATAACAGTCTGTCACCCATTAAAAATCATAAGCAGAGTTGTAAAACTTCCGAACAGTTTTTAAATCAAGGAGATGATCAAGCTGAAGGCAATTTACAAGACAACTCATTAGATGTAACACATCTAGAAGATGCTATTTTGCCTGCAGAAGAACATAGTTTAAGTATATCACATGAAATGGAAAACTGGTGTCCTCATCAGAAAGGAGAAGACAGAAAGGAAGATGAATGCTTGTCACCAGTGTTTCGAACTCCAACTGGTGGTAATATATCCATTTCTGACGCAGCTTTGGATCATTCTCTACACTTGCTCAGTGTACAGTGCAAAGAAAGAGATGTAAAACTTTTGGAGAACTCTGATAAAGAAAAAACGAATTGTAAAAATATGGAAGAAGACACCACCCATGGTAAGAACCTGTTAGTAAATGAAGACAGAATAAAACTAGGTTCTTACCATCATCAAATACCTTTCGAACAAGAGCTAGATGTGGGAAAAAATGAAGTGAAAGGGAGTTACCTGACTGGTTTTCATACTGCTAGTGGCAAGAAAATAGCAATTCCTGATGGATTTTTGGCTAAAGCAGAACAGTTCTTTGCAGAAGATACTGATGTAGGAAAGGAACATAATGACAGTTTTGAGAATCTCATCAAGAAAAGGAAATGTGACAAAAACTGTGTTAAAGACTGTGATTTGTGTATTGAAAGCATTGCTCAGCGTGATCCAGAAAAACTTAATTTTAATGAAAAGCCCGTTCATGAAGAACCTGGAGATCAGTTTAAGCAGGCAATGGAGAGCAGTCCCATTAAGCATGGTGTGATTCTTGATCCTGTCAACGTAGATACATTTGTTAATCTAGGTGAAGGTTGTGAAAGAAGTTTGGTAACTTCACACATGCATAAAAAAACTGGTGTCAGACCTGGAAAGTCAGAATTGGAAGCCCTTACAGGACAGAAGAGCGATGCTTTAAGCAGAACTCATTTGTCTGAAGATGGAAAACCTCCAGAGACAAAGATGGAATACTCACCAAGAAAGAAGGATGATTCAGAAGATACTGATGATTTTCCTGTGCACTCTGCTGCATCTCTGCATTTAATGAAGGCACCAAATGACCTTGAAGATAATTGTATGCCTGGAGATACAGAAAATACTTTATTTGTTGAGGATAACAGTAAATCCAATCAATCTCTCCTCTTAACTTCAAAAAACAGCTGCTTGGATTTGAATGGTGATAGTAAGGAGTTGGACAGTAAGGAATTAGAACATTTAAATGAACCGTGTGCTTATACAAACTGCTTCACAGACACCATAGTTAATGCTTGCCAAAACGAGTCAGTAGTCAGCCTTCCTGATGATGGAACCAATTTAACCAGGTTAACAGAAACTACACTTAATGTTGAAAAGCAAAAGGATGATCTGAAACAAACTGTGTTTAGTACAGCAAAAGGTAGAGCGGTTTCTGTTTTGGAAAGTGCATTAGCAAGAGTCAGACAAATGTTTCAGGAAGATTACAGTGAAGTTAAGCCTAACTCAAGAACTAATCAAACAGGAATTGCTAGAAATTCATCTTCAGTCACTCATGCTGAGTGTCCTAATTCTGCTAATTCTTTTAATGCTACGGCAAGTGAAGAGGCTAATTCAGCCACATCCCAATTTATTAAAGTGAATGCAAGTGCTAGTGGAAATGGTCATCAAGAAACAAATATGTCTGCAGATGCAAGGTCTGTTTCAAATTCTCAGAAGCAATGCTTTGAAGAGAATATTAAGCTTAGAGGGCACTTTTCTGTTCCAGATAAGCAGATGAAGCCATCAGATGCTTCTACAAGCAATTTTGGATTTTTTAGTACAGCAAGTGGTAAACCTGTACAACTCTCAGAAGAGTCACTCAGGAAAGCTAGACAGCTCTTTTCTGAAATGGAAGATTATCATTCATCACATGCTCAAGAAGCGTTTTCAGCTGAGGAAGATGTTGAAAAGTCTAAAATGAACACTGAAGGCCTTCCTAGGAAAATGCAGACAGCTTTACCAAAAGGGGAAGAAAATGCCAGTACTGAATTGGTTTCAGATTCTGCTTTTGGGTTCAGCACTGCAAGTGGAAAACGGGTAACAGTCTCTGAAGATGCCTATCAAAAAGCAAAGGCAATTTTAAAAGAATCTGATGATTTTTTGAGTAGTGGGCTTTGCATTACAGATGAATTTAGTTCAGTTAAAGAGAATGGTCAACATGCAAAATGTTTGACTGATAAGGTGGTCTTGGACTCCAAAACTGAAAAAAGCTGCAATCAAGACTCTGACTTTAAAAGCACCTGTCCTGAGGAAATGAAGTATTTTCCAAGCACTCACCATGTCAGAATGCCTGAGTACATACCATACGTGAAAAACAACAAGCAGTTAACATCATTTAAAAATAGCTTTCAGCAGGAGGAGACTAGGTCTTTTGGAAAAGGGCAGCTGAATCTGGGGTTGAAAACAGAGACTGAAACAATTTCATGCAATGCTCCTGCTAAGGCGGAAATCAATATTGATCTTCTCCAAACTCCAAAAAATTACTTGGAAGTAGAGGCTGTAGAAAGTGCAAGAGCTTTTATGGAAGACAGTTTTTCCAGTTCTGGAGTTCAAATTAATGCTGCACAGTCCTTCGGTAGCAGACTGGATAAAAACTTTCAAAACAAGACCTTTGGGAAGAGACACTCTGAAGAAAACAACTCGTTTGGTACGTCTTTTATCCTGTATATGATCAACTCCATATTTCTGCACAGTGGATTGTTTGAGGTGGTTTTTTGTTTTTTGGTTTTTTTTGCTTGTCACATTGATTTTTGGGTCACAAAGAATTTGAAGTTTCTTTCTCTAGGTGTCAATGACAAAAATTCTTGCTGCAGGAAGTAGTTCATCCACTCTTTCCAGCCTAAATACACAGTACAAGCTAAATTTATGATGAGTAATTTTGAACAGCTTTGCTGTTTTATCATAAACTTACAGAAGAAAGCTACTGCTGCTTTTCTCCCTGACCAGACTTCCTTTTTTTTTTTTGCCTCTTCATTGAAAAATGAGTAGCAGTGTTTTTCATTTTCACCTTTTTGTGCCTCATAACTGAGGACAACGTTTCACTTATGTTGAGACTGCTGTCCGTAACGAAAAATAGTTGTTGGTCTAAGTATGCGGTTTCTTGCCATCTAAAACTGATCTGTCTAGAGCTGAAGTGTTGGTAGTTGATGTTTGCTCAGTTATCCAGACCTGTTCAGAGATCTGGACTAGCTGGAAACTATTTATGGAAGGGTATATTGGAACAGAATCCCTGCCCAGCTGCACAAGTTCAGGTACAAAGGTCAGGCAGGCTAGTGCTGCAAAGTTTGGGTAGGTGTCAAAAGGGGGTTAAGGCTCTATCAGTCCGACTTGAAACAGCTGTGCCACAGCTGAACCCCCTACTTAGTTACACTTTGTGTAAAAGATGTGTTACACACATTTTTAGCATTCTGGAGGGACTCCTTGGTTATTGAAAGTACATAAAGAAAGGTACAGGTGAGCTGTTTGCGGTGAGGTAGCTCTGTGTTTAAAAAGACCATTTAAGAGACGTGTGATCTGAAAATTTGCTAGTTGTGCTTTCTCTGACTTCTTCAACATTTTACTTAAAAATTACAGTTAAGTTGTGTAGGTTGGTAAGAAATTGAACTTGAAAGGAACATAACTTCTAAAATTATGTGTTTTTATCCTAGGAGAACCTCCAATTAAAAGACAGCTCCTGCTTGAATTTAACAGAACAGAGAATCCCCCCAGATCTTTGAAAGCTTCAAAAAGCACCCCTGATGGTAATTTTAGTCATCTTGTGTTCTAAGCAGTAATCTGATGTCAATTGATATCTTTAGAATTCTTCAGTTTACAACAAACTAACATATAACAAGACTACTTAACTACTGCATTTATCAGTATAGTCATGGAAATTCAGAGAAACTGCTGTAGTAATGTCTGTGCTGAGTTGAAATCAGATGATTAATGGTATGCCTTATTGTGTGGAATCTGAATATATTACAATATATTACTTCTATAAGAACTCTGGTTTCTCACAGTCCTAAATCTCAGGAATTCTAATCTCAGTAGGCAGAATATGTTTTATTGATTAATTATCTACAGGAAAATGAAACTGGTAATATACTCACTGATAACTGTCTGTTACAGATGCTTATAATATTTTGAGTGAGGAATATGGAGACCTATGAAAGGGATATCAAAGCTTTTAAAGTTTGAGTTGATGTTTTATGTGAAGCTAGTTAGTGATCGGGATATTAGGATAGCGTGATTTTTGGCTATGGTTTTTGGTTATGGGATAAGCAGTGTTCTTTAAGAAACTTGTTCTTTTTAAGCACTGCATGCTCTCACCTAAATTTGATAGCAGGATTCATCAAATATATTTATTTAACAAGTACATTGGTTCCTGAGTGCTGTGCTAAATCTGTTTTAGGCATAAAAGCCGTAATTTAAAATTTCAAATGGAATTTGTAAATTGGTGCCTGAGAATAATTTTATTCCCTTCATATGTCAGTATTATCCTACCCTGCAGCAGGAGGACTTGAACAGTGTTTTTCTGTGGTGAACAATTGAAAACAGTTGTCTCCAGTGCAGTCTTGCCTCTGGCTTCTAGAACATGTATCATCTTGTGTATGCAACTTATCGTATGAAACTTCTCTTTGCAGCCTGAGGGCACAAGTGAGTTTACATTCCCAGCAGATACGATTTAATTACATTGATAATTCCAAGATAAGCCTGTCCTTCAGTGATAGAAGGAGGTTGTGCAAATACACCCTTTTCTGTTGTAACTTCAAATAAAAAAATAAATAAAAGTTGCTGAAAAAGTTCTGAATTGAATGGTGAGGCTACCTGGAATTAAATATATGATAAACATTTCCCCTACAGGAGCCTAAAAATGTATTGCCAGGTCAGAAATACAAACTCTTGAGAGTTCAACATTGTGTTCACTTATGCTTTAGATCTGTCTTCAATTAGCATGGAGATGTCTATAAGAACATTTTTTGGGGCAGGAAAGAGTAAAACTGTTTAAACCGACCCTGGAAGCTTTTATTTATATTTATATCATTAATTTAGGTAAAACATTCTGTAATTATCTATCCATGTAATGTATGATTTCAAATACATTTTTTTCCAATTATCTTACAGGCATTTTCAAAGACAGAAGAAAATTTATGTACCATGTGCCTTTAAAACCCGTAACTTGTCAACCTTTTGGGTGAGAAATTTATTATATATTGTAGAGTTCTTCTAATGCAATTTCTTAAAACCTCACAAGCCTTTGTAGCTTTCTGAAAATATATAGTAATAATTTACTACTTACAACTTTATAAAAGACTTATAATTTTACTCCAAAATAAACAGTAAATATCGCACATAGAACACATATTGCTGCGGTAGACCCGTAAGATGCTAAACAAACTACACTCTTTTACACTCTGTCTTTTCTCAATAGAAATTAAGTATTCAATTTTTAAAACATCAAAGACCTTGTCTTTTTATTGATGTAGTATTGAAAGTTGTACTACTCAAATAAGAAGAGAGTACAAAAATCCTGAGAAAGATTTTTGTCAGGAGGCTGAAATTTGTGTGTTTTAACATTCTCATCTCTGTAGGTCAACTAAAGAACGTAAAGAAGTCAAGGATCCTACCCTTGCTCTACCAGATCAAGACTTCAAAGGATTCCAGTCTAAACCTGCCATTTTTCAGCACCGTGCACTAAGGCAGTCCTCAAATGGTACTTCAGAGGTTTCTACTCCATGTAAGGCCTCAGCAAAAGAGAGTGAAGAAACAAGAAGTCTGTACAGATCTGGCAAAACTGTTAAAACTTTTATTCCACCCTTCAAAACCAAGCTGACGTTTTCTACATGTGAACAAGGTAGCAGCAAAAGGTGTGACTCACCGATCAGCAAAAGTATGACCCAAGAGATGGAATTAAATCAGATCACAACTGAGCAAAATACTGCTGAACCTCAAGATCACCAGTCTTGCATCCAGCATGCAGCAGACACTGACAGAGAAAATGGTAAATCAGGTATTTTCAGATTTTGCTTACTTAACTATTGTGAATACTAACTGTCAGAATTAAATGCTTAAGGTTTTTCTATGTATTCTGACAGACTTTTTTTTTAATAAAAAGAAACTTCTGTTTAAACTTTTTTCTTTTTGTGAGAAAACTAGGAAATAATTACTTTCCTAATATTTTATATTTCACTCCTAACAAATTATATGTTGCTCATCTCTTAAGGTTATTAAGAAGTTGAAAAATATTTCACACAGTGCTTCAGAAACAAGATAGCTTATGTTTTGTTTGATACCTGATTTTTTTATACATGTCTTAGGTAAAATAACCTAGGAACCTTAGACTAGCCTTGCTATATTTCATTCGCTTATTCTTCATTCTGTTCTCTAATTAAAATGTAGGGTTAACCATATAAATGATTGATTGTGTCATTTCCAAAGAGGCAGAGTTTAAATGCACAACTGGTTGACTTTAGTGTGTGGGCTTATGCCCTCTGAGCTCTCTTGAATGTTCCACTGTGTGTGATTTCTGTAACTATATAATTATAATCAAATAATCTGGATTTTTTTCAGAGGGACTCGTTGTGTATATTTGAACAGGTGTATGAATGTTTGCAGAATTAGATCCTGTATTTAGGTCAAAATCTCAAGATCACATTAGTTGATGTAGTCATCAACTAATTTCTTTTCAAATGGAGTTTTATATGAAGACTGAGTTCAGTCTGATGAGAAAAATATGTGTCTCAAAGTTTAGTTCAGGGACTTACACAAAATTATTATGGACATATAATGTTTCATATAATATTATACGGATGCTTTCAGTAATCATTGCTTTCTAAATGCATTAAACTTTGAATATTTAGACTTGCAGTTTCTAACAATCTGCAGAGTGGCATAGCAAATATGTTCCTCTCAATCCACTTTTGTAGTGTGACAGTATATCTTTAAAAATATTTTTGTGTTTTTTTTTCTTTGCAGCTGTGGTCAGGATGGTGACAAATCTCCGCTGTGCCAGAGATCTGCAGGAAATGAGAATTAAAAAGAAGTGCAGGCAAAATATTCGCTCACAGCCAGGCAGTCTTTATGTCATTAAAACCTCTGCGAGCAATAGAATCTCTCTGAAAACTGCGGTGGAAGAGAAATCTCCTAGTTTTTATTCTACAGAAGAGGTATGTTGGTATCTTTCTATTATCTGTCTTTTGCATCTGTTTCTTAAGAGGAGCATCTAAAATCTCAGTAGCTTTTGAATCAATACATTCTTCCATTTCTAGGTAAGAATTTAGAGTAGCTTTTATACCAGTTGCTGCAGTATTTGAAGTAGCTTTGTATATCCACATTTTTTAAGACAATTCCAAGTAATAAATGTCTTAAAGTCTCTAGTGTTATAGTCAAACCAGAGAAGCACCAAAAAAGGGGAAAAAAAATCACCAGTTATAATTGCTATTGACTTTTAACCCATATGAAGTGCTGGGATAAGAGGACAGTTAATGTTTAAGGTTAGGTAGATCTATATGAAAAGCCTCTTGCTTTTGGTTCAGTGAAGGTACAAAACCAGATGAATTTTTAAAAACACTTTTGAAGCACACTGTGATGCTATTCTGCTAAAATAATTGCTGGGAATTCATTCTTCCTGGATTACGTATGAAATGACAAGATCAGACAAGCTGTCTCAGCCTTAGGGAAATATTTAATCTAAATTTTTAATATATTAAAACTCTTAGCTGAATTCTTACTGTATTGTCATTATTTTGTGTTTTTCAGCTATACACATACGGTGTTTCAAAACATTGCATACAAGTTAACAGCACAAATGCAGAATCTTTCCAGTTTCTCGTCAAAGACTTTTTCAGTAAGGAGTATTTGTTAGCTGGAAATGGAATGCAACTTGCTGATGGAGGATGGCTAATACCTACAGATGAGGGAAAAGCTGGAAAAAAGGAGTTTTACAGGTATTGTTACTTATGAACTTGAGACAGCTGTGCTGTTTATTAGTTAGTTATGCTCTTATCCCCAAGAATAAATCCAATGTAGTCATCTCTTGAAGTCTCTGACTATTTTTACTCTGCATTTTTAGTACACCTCTGGTAGTGTAAAGATACTGTAGGATTGTAAATTTGCTTTGTAGATTAGTGTTGCGAGTGATTGATCTTCAATGACCATTAAAGAAAGCATACAAAGCCAATTTAGAAAATTTCTGGGAATTCTTCAACTGTGTAAATAGTCTAAAAAAAAATCCCACAACTATTTTTTGATGGGAACGAAGGTTGATTTGGAAGGTGCTTAGGGCTTCTTTGACAGGACAGGGATGAAAATGTTTTTTTAATATAACTTTTTTAAAGATGATATATAATTTGAAGGAAGCCTAAGCTACAGTAGTAAAGCACTTTTCCCATCAAGCCTTCTTTTGAGTATATGTAAGAACCAAATTAAGTGCAGAAGCAACATTTGCATTTTTTTCTGGTTCTTCTATCCCTCCTTTTGCAGGTCCTTTAAAAAGAGCTGAAAAAAAATACGTGTTTGAGTATACCTCTCCTAAACACTTCCATGAAAATTATGTTTTGTTGTACTGTAAGCAGGTGTGTAGGTTGTAACTTCAGCAGCAGCTCAAGGAACTACCAGTGCACTGTTGTTGCAGCAAAACTTCAGAAAATGCTTAACTATTATTTTCTGATTTCTTCTGTTAATTTGAATCATAGAATATCCTGAGTTGTAAGGGACCCACAAGGATCATCGAAGTCCAAATTGTGGCCCTGCAGGTTTGAGATGCTCTGTGTTCAAATCAGTGTCACTGTTGGTATTCATTCACAAAATACTCAAGGCAGGCACCTGTATTTGCGTAGTGTTTGTAGTCAAGCATGCATTGCCAATCTGAGTAATGTCAGAATTCGAGATGTTTGCAGTATTTGCTTTGCAGTACCAAAGTGTGACAGAGATAGGTCTGTTCCAAGCTCAAGAACTGTTTTTATTTGTAAGTTTGGGTTGGTGAAGTTGGTGCCAGCAGTCCAAAATGGGAAAATTGACTATTATGAGATGTGTATTTCCATGTTGTGATCTGTACTTTCTCATAAAAAATTGCATTCTACTCATGCTAGTGAGGCAGAATCGTTATTAGGTTTTCCCACATTACCTTGAGAAACGTTTTTGGTGTCAATGATATTTGTTCATCATGGGAGAACGGGAGATGTTGTGTGTCCATACCCAGCAACTACTCAGTAAAGAACAATCATATGCTGGAGTTCACAGAATCATAGAATAGTTTAGGTTGTAAGGAACTGATGGCAGTCATCCAGTCCAAGCCTCTGCTCAATACAGTTTGAATTAGATTAATTACTCAGGGACTTCCCTAGCTGAGTTTTGAACATCTCCAAGGGCAGAGATTATACAACCTCTCTGGACAGCCTGTGCCATTTGACCATTCCCATGGTTTAAAAAACAAAACAACTACCTTTATTTCTGATTGGAATTTTCCATGGTCCAGCTTGGTATGTTGTCTCTCATCCTGTTGTTGAGTGCTTCTAGGAAGAATGTGTCCCTGTTTTCTCTGAACTTTCCAGTCAAGTAGTCATAGACAGCAATAAGGTCTTTTTGACTTATTTTAAATTCAAACAAACCCAGCTGTCTTAACTTGTATGTCATGTGCTTAGCCCTCAAGATCACCTTGGTTTCTCTCTGTGAGGTTTGTTCCAGTATACCAAACCTTTGTCCTGGCAAATCCAAAACTGGACAGAAGCTTTCTCCCAAGTGCTGAAGAGAAGGGAAGGATCACTGCCTTGCTGACCTTGCTTATAATACAGCCCAGGATGCTTTTGTTCTTCTTTGCAAGGATATATTGCTGTTGTATGGTCATCTTGTCCACTAGGTCCTTGGATCCTTTTGTGCCAGTCAGCCCCAGCCTATTACTGCTGTGTGGGATAGTTACATTGCAGTGCAAGACTTTGCTTTTGTTGAATTTTATGAGATTCATGAGATTCCTACAAAGTTGTTTCTCATGCCTGTTCGAGTCCCACTAAATAGGATCCCCCAGTGTATCAATCACTTCTCTAAGTTTGGTGTTATCTGTAAACTTTCTGGGTCCCCCAAGCCATCATGTAGGTTGTAATGAACCCATCAAGCAAGCAGGGGAAATTGCAGGGCTGAAGGGGGATGGAGCACACCTCAGTCCATCTATGCTATGTGCATAACTGCATGAAGCAGACAGAGCACGTCCCTGGGGCTGCTGCTGGGTCAAGTATCTCCGTTTCAAGGATACATACATGTATGCACATGTGTGCTGCCAAGGCATATGAGGACAAAACTTCAGTATTCAGACATTAAGCAGATCAGGTGATGGAATTTAACCTTCCTGTTTTCAGTGTAATCAATATTTTTTTGTTAATGTTGCCTGTGTACATACACCGAATACAATGCTAGGGCAAAATAGACAAGTTAAAACTTGCAGTGGATTTCAGGTTAATTTATTAACCATTTATCTGCAGAGCCCTCTGTGATACTCCTGGTGTGGATCCCAAGCTAATATCTGAGGCCTGGGTTTACAATCACTACAGATGGATTGTATGGAAACTGGCAGCCATGGAAGTGTCATTCCCACATGAATTTGCTAACAGATGTTTGACACCAGAAATGGTGCTGTTGCAATTGAAATATAGGTATGTGTATAGCAATGTATTTGGACCTGTAACTTGTGGTACTGTATACTTTTTAAATTACAAAATTAACACCTCTATACCTTGCATTTACTATTTAATAGAATGCATTCACTGTAAAGTTGTGCATAGCAGTATTAAAAGCATAATGCATGTTATTTGCAAAAATTTAGATTACATTTGCTTTGCTATAGTGGTGCTTAACTGTAGATTGAATAAGCAATAGTTTGCTACAATTGTGTTTAAAGAAAAAAGATGTGGTGGGTTTTGTTTGCTTTAACAAAACCTGGATGCTTTTTTGTAGGTATGACTTGGAAGTTGATAAAAGTAAGCGATCAGCAATCAAAAAAATAACGGAAAGAGATGACGCAGCAGGTAAAACACTTGTACTGTGTATTTCCAAAATCATATCGCTGAACGCCGTTGTATCTCCTAGCAGTAGCAATAAGAACGTGGAAAATAAAAAAGCGGCAATAATTGAAGTTACTGATGGCTGGTATGGGATTAGAGCTCTTCTGGATCCACCTCTCAAAGCTTTCTTAGATAGAAGGCGACTGACTGTTGGTCAGAAGATCATAGTGCACGGAGCAGAACTTGTTGGCTCTCAGAATGGATGTACACCACTGGAAGCTCCAGATTCCCTCATGTTAAAGGTAAAATAAAATATCAGTTCAGCTTAAATGGATGTGACTGAGAGATGAATGCTATTTAGTTGAGCCACATTCTGTAAACAAAGTTTTGGGGGCTTTACAAACAGATGGAGCTTTGTTGAAGTTTAATAACCAATTTGTAAGATGTGCCACAAGGTCATTGACACTATTCAATAGGGTTGGAAGAGAAGTTCCTAGTACAAAATTCTTCCAAGTTTTGCTATGTGTTTTGACAATTCCAGCTCCTTGATTTGGTTAAGCAGCAAGTTACAAAAAGTACTTATTCATCACTTACAATGTGGAAGTTGGAAGAAGAATGGTGGGGGGAAAACCAGGTTGTGAGAGGGTGGACTGGCAGGGGAGGGCTTTGATTTATTTGAGAATGCTTAAAGAGATGGGTGAAGTTTTAGCATAACACTGTTGCTCCTCTGGTATAAAGCAGTGACTTGTCTCATAGATACTCATCTCTTAGAGAATTTTAACTCATCAAATTTTTAGTTTCTGTTTAAAATACATTTCTTCAGTGTGACAGAAAACCTTTAAAATGTGCTGTGTTCAGATGTATTCTTAGTGAGGTCGGTGTGAAAATGGTCTTTCCTGTAGATTTAATAAGTTGGGTATAGTTTTGACCTACCAGTGACAGTTTATCATTCATGACTTGTCTCATTCAGTTTTCAGCGAACAGCACTCGATGTGCACGATGGCATGCAAAACTAGGATTTCATCGGGATCCCAGGCCTTTTCCTTTGCCGTTGTCATCGCTTTACAGCGAGGGTGGTGCAGTGGGGTGTATTGATGTAGTTATTCAAAGAACTTATCCTATTCAGGTATGGTGTAAGTATTTTATGAATCTTAACAGGTTCTGTGAGATCCACATTATAGCAGTTAATTGCTATATCATTCCTCAAATCAGACATAATATAGAGAGCTAAAAAATTTAAGAAAAGGTACTATTATGTGTAAAATGAACAAGAGCGGTTCTTGCAGTGTGCATGTATCTTGCTGTAAGAAAAATTTGAGTTTGCACTCAGTATCTTCTGGTTGGCTTTGCTTTCAGCTTCAAAAAACCAGAAAGAATTGGATTTCAGTTCTGGAATCTAAAAAGCCCAGTACTTGTTTTAAAGAGAAAAAAGACACTGACAGTTTCAACTCCAAGAACAAGTGAAACTCGATTTTTTTTATTTTTACATACATGCTAACATAGAAGTTGTATATTTCTAGGCTTTAGTAAGATTACTTTTTCTTACATGTAGCTGACTGTATTGTTTAAGTTCTATTATTTAAAAATATGACTGAAAATACTGCGTGTGCTTATGGTATAAAATAGAATTAAGATCTTTTAAATACCACTTAATATCCAGTCATTTTAAGTATGGTCAGACTTCACTGTAACTATTTGGTTTAATAACAATACCAACCACAAAAAGAAACAATATTTCTGTTAGCAGTCAGTCCTTTTAATGTTAACAGTTTAACCAGGATACAACTTTCAGGTTTTATTAACTTTTATCAGAGCATATTATACTTGGCGTGTTATTACGGGATTTTTTTTTTCATTGCTTTTTTTCTAAGGTGTTGTTTAACTGTTGGTTGGTGTAGCATGAATTCTGCAAAAGCACTAGCAATATTTGGTTTGGATCATTACTTTGATATTTAGATCATTGCTTTAATGGAGAAAATTGCAGTACTTACTGTGTAAGCTGCCTGGGTAGAGCTAACATTTATTTAGGTAATCACATCACAGTAAGTGGTTTCCAGGCTGGGGAGGAAAGTGGTGCTTTGCATCTCACTATATCAGGAGACTGATGTACTGATGTACTTTTTTCTTTTCTAAGATGTACTGATGTACTTTTTTCTTTTCTAAGACTTTTGTTCAAACATACCAAAATTATAGGAAGATTTGGACTGTCTCCTTTTACCTCAAGAGTCAAGGAGTGTAACCTTAACTAAATGCATTAGACTGTGAATAGTGCAGGAACTACATGGCATGCAATTAAATGAGACAGGCAGAGCCCATTTCAACAATTCACTGCCTCATAAGAATTAGTCCTGCAACCTTTCCTCATCCTGCTTTCACTGTACTCTCCTGCTGCTTCTCTGTGCTAATCCTGGACCTGTTGCTTAGCTAATTTAATTTATTGTTTATTTTAAACCAAGAGTAAGTAATTAATAATAATTAAAACCAACCAAAACAAGAAGCACAATGAACTGCTGTCTGTTGAGTTATCAAACTGATATGGTCTGCTGACGTCAAGTAGGTACTAGAGCCAGTGCAAGGGAGAAGACAGAACTGTAAAGTTAAAAGGAAGGGAAGGGACCACTTACTTTCATCAGTAGGGACGTTGTTTGGCTCACCTATCTCAGTCAAGCCAGTTTTAGCAGAGTTGTGGACAAGGCACTAGCCCTGTGGAATAATTTCAGGCAGAAAAGGTTTAAGAGCAGGACAACATCATAGTTCCTTTACAGCATCTAAACTGGCACGTTAATGGTTTGTATCTTAATGTATCTACCAGTCAGATCCAGCTGTCTTTAAAATTACATCACTGATACTTACTACTTTAGACTATGGTTTCTTCAGCTGTTAAGTCATCTGATTTTGGATACTGCTCCATTCTGTCTCTGTAACATTAAAGTGAAGATTTACCAATGCTGTAGCTTTTTGCCTTTTATCCATTATACCGAATGAACTTAGGATCTACTACCTGTTCATTTTTAAAGCATTTTTGAATAACAATGAGTATTAAAAGGAAACTAGATTATGTTAAAAATAATTTTCAAGTCTGGGTTTTGTTTGAATCTTTTTATTTCAGTGGATGGAAAAGACATCAGCTGGTTCATATGTTTTTCGTAACAGTCGAGCTGAAGAAAGGGAAGCTGCCAAGCATGCAGAGGATCAACAAAAGAAACTGGAAGCTCTGTTTGCAAAAATCCAATCAGAATATGAAGAGCATGAAGGTAAAGCTTTCATTCTTTCAGAATAGGTATTAAGAACACAAAAACATTTTTGATGTTTACAGGAGAGTCTAAAAAAACTGTCAAAAAACTTCCCTGGGGATAGAGAAGCAGAGATGAGATTTGGGATTGTTTTCTTTGTTGTTTTTGTTTCGTATTTTTCTAGATTTTTGCTTCCTGTATATCAAGACCTTTCAGTGGAAAACAGTCACATGCTTATTTGCTTGGCTTTGCAGCTATCTAGGAGACTCTTCCTGAATGTATTGGTAGCCAGGCTACTAAAAAATTACTGAGATGATGCTCAGGGAAGTGCTATGAAATTGTAGAATTCTTAATTTCATTCTCTTCAGGGACCTGATACTATAATGATTCACCCAGAGTGGGCACTGCTGGGATGTATCTCAGTGGACCTGAACACCAAGATTAGGCACTGAGCATCTTTCATCACAAACGTTGCAGGACTGCGGAGACACTGAGCTCAGTGGATCTCCTAAATGGGACAGGGACCCTGGTCCCAAGGGACATGGGGAAGGCTGAGTTACTGGATGCTTGTTTCACCTTGCCCTTGACTAGGAATCCCATGCTCTGGAGACCATGGGAAATTCTGAAGCACGGAAGACATAATCTTGGTGGAAGAGGATCAAGTTAGAGAACACTTAGGCAAACTGGACATGTGTAAGTCCATGGCTGGTGATGAGATGAACTCTGAAGTGCTGAAGGAGCTGAGTGATGTCTGTGAGGCTGCTTTTGGTCCTCTTTGCATGATCATTGGTTGATTGGTAGAGGTGCCTGAAGACTGGAGGAAAGCAAATGTGTCTCCTGTCTTCGGAAAGGACAGGAAGGAGGGCCCAGAAAACTAACTACAAGCCAGTCAGCCTTACCTTGATCCCTAAGAAGGTGATGGAACAAATATTCCTGGAACCAATTCCAGGCACATGAAGGACAAAAATGTGGAGTATTTGACAGATTCACCAAGGGGAAGTCATGTTTGACCTGCCTGACAACCTTCTGTGATGGAATTACTGGCTTGGTTGGATGAGGTGAGAGCAGTGCCTATTTTCTACCTGGGCTTCAGTAAGGCTTTTGATGTTCTCCCTTGAGATCCTCATAATGAAGCTGATGAAGCATGGGCTAGATGAGCAGTCAGTCAGGTGGATTGAAAAGTGGCTGAACAGTAGGGCCCAGAGGATGGTGATCAGTGGCATAACGTCTGTTTTGGAGGCCAGTAACTAGTGGTGTCTGCCAGGGATCAACACTGGGTCTAGCCCTGTTTGAACATCTTCATTAATGATCTGAAGAATGGGACAGTGTTCTTTCAACAGGTTTGATGATACAGAATTAGGATGAGTAATGGATACACTAGAGGATTATGCTGCTACCATCCGGAGGGGTTTGGACAACTGGAGAAATGGGCTGACAAGAACCTCATGAAGTTCAACAAAGCAAAGGTCAAATCTTTCATCTGGGGAGGAACAGTCCCATGCACCACTATGTGCTGGGGGCCACCCAGCTGGAAAGCAGCTTGGCAGGAAAGGCCGTGGGGGTCCTGGTGAACAAGTTAAGGAGTGTTGCCAGGTCTAAAGAGGTGATCCTTCCCCTCTGTTTAGCTTTGGTAAGGCACGTGTGGAGTGCTGTGTCCAGTTCTGGGCTCCTCCTCTGTACAAGAGAGGCATGGACACATCGGAGTTACAAGAAAGGGCCATGAACATATGTAAGGAATTGGAGCATCTGACATAGGAAAAGCTGAGAGAACTGGGACTTTTGAGCTTGGAGAAGGCTCAGGAATCAGTGTACATAAATACCTGAAAGAGAAGATGGAACCAGGCTTCTGTTAGTGGTGTCCAGTGACAGGTCCAGACCAACGGGTACAAACTGGAACATGGGAAGTTCCCTCTGGACATCAGGAAACACTTTTCCACTGTGAGGACGATCAGCAGTGTTGCCTAGAGAGGCTGGAAAATCTCCATCCTTGGAGATAATCAAACACTCACTGGACTTGATCTTGGTCAGCCTGCTGAAGGTGACCCTGCATGAGCAGAGAGTTGGACCAGATGACCTCCAGAGGTCCCTTCCACTTCAACCATTTTCTGATTCCATAATAGGCTGACACTGCACACCTCTGCCACTGATTTCTGGCAGTAGTTCTAGCATTGAATTTGTAGTTGAAATCGAAGATGGCTTTGTAATTCTTAACTTCACTGATATGAACTTCCGCATGTCAGTCACCTCACTGTGGTGTTTAATGTTTGGTAAACTTGTCTGTACTAGACAAGTTGTCTTGTATGTCTACTAGCACTGTCTGCTATGCTGAAGGAATTCATGAGAATGCTAGCAGCAGAATCACTTACCTAAGGAGAGTGTAATAGTTTAATGTAATTAAGTTAACTTTGCATTTAGCTGGTGTCCTAAGGAGCCTTCATGTTCAGACTTCTTGTCCCAGATCTTGGTATCTTTGAGACTTTTCTGCTGTATGAGGAAGAGGAAGTGACACACAGAGAAAACACAGTCAAGTATCGATGAAGTTTCTTGGCAGCTCATCAAGTCTCCCTCCCTCTTCTAAGTGCAGACACTGATACCGTCTTCCCCACAATTTGTATAATATTCTAATCTATGTTGTATTTAAATGAATGAGATTTTTTTTTTCTGCTTTTTTCTAAAATTTTCTGCTATTTTCCTAAAATATATGTATACACATATATCAGTCGTATATATGTGATTTGTATTTTTATTTCGTCAAGGCCTAGGTACTACCATGCTTCTTACGTAATAATTTCTTCTTTCACTTTCAAGTGTATTGGTTGCACTCCACATAATGGCTTTTTTTTCAACAGAGAGAACTACCAGAAGAACACCAAGATCACATATAGTCACAAGACAGCAAATCCACAATTTGCAAGATGGTGCAGAACTTTATGAAGCAATTCAGAATGCATCTGATCCTGGTTATATGGAGGTAACTAGATCCTACTGGGCTAATTTTGAAACGCTTGGGAAATAATTTACAGTTTACTACCTCCTGCTAAAATAAACTATTAAATTACTCTTTATTTTTGCTGCCTTTTGAGATTTCCTACAGCATCTTTATTGTTAAATAAATTAAGATTAAAAATTTTGAAAAAATGTAATGAAGTCTTATTGAAATAGATGAACAATAGTTTGGATGGCACTTTTCTCTTGGCATAAAAATCCAGGATATAGCACAATTAAATGTTAATGTTACTTGTAATTTTATTACTTTTCTTTGTCTGGCTTATATGAAAACTAAATTAATCTCGTAAGTCTAGAGTTGCACACACATATTCTTGCATGCTGTTCACTGAAGTGTTTGAATAATTATATTGTCATTGTTTTCTTCATTCCCTGGTCCAGTTAAATCATTACTTTTAAGTTTATGCCTTCAGTAGTAAAGATGCAGGTGATGAGTCCCTGCCAGTTGTTAAAAATTAAATACATACCTTGCCTTTTGCAAGTCAGGATCCTTGATGGTCATAAAGCCATATGATCTGTGGTATGCATATCTCTGGTGCTGCCTGTAAAGGCATCTGGGTCTTGGAGGCTTGGCCAGAAAAGTAACCTTTCTGATGGATTTTAGTGTAAATCACTGTGTCAGCTCAGAGACAGCAGCCTGAGGAGGAATGCAACCTTTCCTTCATTCTGACTGAAATTTCTCCTAATATGTCTTCATATGAAACAGGCAAGCATGCCTGTTATATTAAATATTCACCTTAGTTATGCACTCTTAAGTAGGTTTCTTGCTAATTGTCACGTAAGAACAGTCTGTAATGTAATGCTCTATAGAGACCGCAGAGCACCAGCTGAGTGCCAGTCAAGACTTGATGCCTCCCGTTGTTTCAACTTACCTCATTTCAAGTCCTAGTGGTGTATCAGTTGAACAATAAATTGCTTGTAACAGGTGAACACTTGAAGAGGCTGTCTAAAAATCTTGACAGTATTTTTTTTAATAATAAAAAAGATACTGAGTGCATTTTCTCTTGGTTACAGGGATATCTCAGTGAAGACCAGTTAAAAGCTTTGCGGGCTTACAGGCAGTTGATGAATGACAAAAAGCAAACTCGGATGCAAGAAGAATTCAAGAAGGCTTTAGAGTCAGCAGAACAGGAAGAAAATGGTTGTTCCAAAAGAGACGTGTCTGCTGTATGGAAATTGTGTGTGGTAGACTACAGAAAGCAAGAAAAATATAAAGGTTATTAACTTGAAAAATTATAAATGTTAACTAAACTTGGTAACTGGCCAACGTAGATAGAACTGAAGAGTCTCCCGACAATATTCTAGTTTGCATGTTAATATTTTCAGTTGGTTTAGGGCTTTTGGGTGGAGGGAGTGTTGTGGATTTATTTTGTTTAGAAGCCTTCAATTTAGTATTGCACAGCTAATACATCTTATTCTGATACTGCTAGGAGTGATACTGAGTATCTGGCGTCCACTGCTGGATATTTGTTCATTGCTAAAGGAGGGCAGTCGGTACAGAATCTACCAGCTGTCAGCATCACAGTCCAAAGGAAGGGCAGACTCAACTAACATACAATTAATCGCAACGAAGAAAACTCAGTATCTGCAACTATCAGTAAGTGCTTTAAGTGCGTAAAGATGTGTCATT